CATGGATAAATTATAATAATTCACTAACCTGAATTAAGGCCATAAAAGGGGATGATTTCCCTTACTAACCATCATTCCCAGTGAGGTCGCAGTGAGGTCGTTATAATTTACCCATATATATATATGTAGTAAATAATAAAGTACATGATACAGTATATGATGGGTCACCGTGGGTTTTTCGCCAGGCGATGGGGGCTGTTGATACCAAGGCTGTAAGTTCGTCGAAAAACATGAGTAGACGGTATATCAATGATTTTCTGTAAACTAAAATAATTCACTAACCTGAATTAAGGTCATTTGGGGATCATTTCCCTTATTAACCATGATGCCAGTGAGGTCGCAGTGAGGTCGTTACAATTTACCCGGAATGATATAATAGTACTGGGAATAATATCAATAATGGGAATATGGATAATGTGACGATGTGATAATGTTTCCCGTAACACCAATCATATCAATGGGAATTCCAAGATCCTAAAATGGAGGTACTGTACCATATAAAGACATAGAAATTGGGGGTGTATCCCCGTACATAGCCGTGAAAAATAGGTCTTGTATATATGGTAGGAGTAAGGGGATTCCTATGAAACATGGTAAATAATGGGATTTTACTGGGATGTTTACCATCTACCAACTGGTGCAGGATTCCTTGCAGTACACAGTGTCATATCCCATTTTGGGTCATATTATTACAACGGGTAATCATTGCCAAAAATGGGTTCAACATATAATACCCAAAATGGGGATGAATAGGTACCCTATTTTCAGACAAACCCATATCACATCTCAATCATACCAGTACGAGGTCAAACATACAGAACTTTCTAATACTTCAAGTTGCAACTACTGAATTAGCTCTCCCAACTGTCGGCTGATATTTGATCAATGGTTTGTTGGGTCATCTCTGAAAAAAAATGAAAAATGCTATGTCCATGCTATGCCCATCATCATTGGTCATATCCAACTTTAGGTCCGTTGTATCCTTGCATTTTTGCGACAAAGTCGACTTTCATGTTATAACATGTCATTCAAAAGTGGTATAAAGTGGTGTTTCCCCAACCCCAAGTAGTGTCTTTGCGGGCCACATCATTTTGTACAACAAACACGTTTGGAGGGAACACGACATGTTACGTACTTTCCTTGGAGTTGCTCGTGTCGTTGGCGTTATCCGAATAGTCATTGTGATGACTAACAAACAAACTTCAAGGCTTATCAACCTTGTTCTGGTTTGCAATGCATCCATTTTTTCCATAGCTCCTTTGAGGCGATATATATATATATATAGTATATATTGATTTTATGATGTCATTGACTGTTTGCCTTAATAGATTTAATAGTAAACATATTAACATTCATATTGACATTTCTGGTGAGATTGTTTTAGACTCTCAAAGAAGCCGCTTTTTTATGAGATGATCCAAACACATCCGAAGGTGCGACTTTTGCGCGCTTCCGAAGCAGGGCACCTCCTCTGGTGGCCCCTCCAATACTCCATGAAGGTGTCTTTCCAAACTTATCCTGAAGAAAAATGGGGACATCATGGGATACAATAGGTATATGGATGTATATGGGATATCATGTGGGGATATTATGACGGGATATCTAAGATTACTCTGTTCAACGGCCATTTCAGGAACCGATTTATTGGAGGACCTACCGTATATATCGAGCCTATTGTTCAGGGCTATATAAGGGAAGATCCTACAAAATATGGCCTTATATGGTCCAGTACCTCCGTTTAATGAAATTCCCACTTATGAAAGGTGAGTCTTGGGGGCGATTGTCCGAAAAACATGGAGGGCTGGTTGGAAATTTCTCGAGCAAATATGGAGTTTAAGATGGGAAACTCATATAAAGCTCTGAAAAACATATGGGAAATCCACTACAAATGGAGGTTTTCGTGAGAACATCATGGTACTATTGCTGGGGGAAATTCCAGGCCATCATCGCCAGAGGATTTGTCGCTGATGTCATGGGGAGGTGAGGTTGTATTGTGCCCGGCTGGCCCGGCATTGGATGATTTTTTTCGAGGAAGACCCTTTTTTTGCTGGTCAAAAAACAAAAACGACAAACTTAGCCTCTGGTAAACTAACAGTTTGCTATTGAAAATGGCCATTTACAGTTGATTTACCCATTAAAAAGGATGATTTTCCATAGTTATGTAACAGTTTACCAGAGGGTAGGGTCTTTTTCTGGCTTTGCATCAGTGAAACAACGACCCCAAAATCGGGCTAGTTTCACCCTAAAGGAAACACGACGCAGTTTCCTAGAAGGTGCCACAGTTCGCTAAGCTGGTTTACAACTCCAATAGCTGTTTGGTACATATGTCGAACCAGCAATGTGGGTTAACAAGGATTACGGTGATGTTTCCCAACTTAGCTCATCAACGAACATCAAGGAACTCAATTCTAAGTTAGCCAAGTTTTTACAAAAAGGGCTTGGTTTATGATCCAAATTCTTTGACCAACTTATCGAATAAAAGAATTGGCGACGTCCCCGTGTTGCTGGCTACCGATCTCCTTGAACCCGCAACCCGCCCAGTCGGTGAGCCTTCTCTGATTTCACTTGAGGGTATTCCCTCAGTGCGGCAAGTAGGAACCATCAAGCAAAAGGCTTTGACGGGATATAATGAGATAAGGGGATATCACTAAACAACTAGTGTGTAATCAGCAAGTATTTCAATCTACGTTGCTACCTGGGAAACCAGGAAAAACTCCAAACTAGATGGAGGTTTCGGGAAAATCATCGAACTAGATGGCGAATTTTCCAGCACGCCATGTTTGATTACCAGAGGGTAGGATCATGGCAGAATATGACATGCCAAAAATATGGTCAATCTTAGTTGGGCCCTAAAAAAACATCAAATGTTCAGCAACTAGTGAGTCTATTTTGAGTGTATTTCCCCCTTCTTAAAACTTGTAAAACAACTTTTCCCTCCAGTGACTAAACATGACAACGGGAAATTGGAATCCACATTTTTGTGGTGGCTTTCTTGGAAAACCAACATCAAAAGGAATATACAGGGAGTTTGAAAAAAACCAGGTTAGATTAATGAAGGGTAAACAACCCAAGTTTTGCCAAGTCATATAAAAGTGATATTCTCCCCAAACATAGCTACACATTTATCTACACTCACTGATGCAGTTTGCAAATATGGAAACCCATGGTAACGTTACCAAATTCAATGGTTGATCATCAGTGCCGGTGTTTGGGATTGGATTGGCGCCATTCATCTGGGTACCCTCTGGTAAACTAACATAGCTATTGAAAATGACCATTTATAGTGGATTTTCCAATTAAAAAGGGTGGTTTTCCATAGTTATGTTAGTTTACCAGAGGGTAAATCGTAATATTTCACTAATCTGAGTTAAGGCCATAAAAGGGGATGATTTCCCTGAAATAAACCATGATTCCAGGGCTCGGGAGAACAGTGAGGTCGTTATAATTTACACAGATTCATCGACAACGCCATTTTTTCACCAACTTTGCTTCGCTGGTCTTGGATCCAACGAAAATAAACGATGGGGTGCAGGATGGGGCCCCCCAGTGATGTGAACGTTGGTCTATAAACCATTATAATCTCCATTGACTATAGTTATATCATATATCTACCATAAACTATAGAAATCAACCACTTATAAAGCTGTGGAAAAGCCATCGTTTCACCCTGGCCATCTGTGGCATGGCCGTGGCATCATAAGCCATCGCCATCCCCAAGATTCCCCAAGAAAAATCAGCTTAAATGGCTGGTGACAATTATCAGAATCTCATGTTTGTACACTGGCTATGGGGCATTCCAATGTGTGGCAACATGTGGCAACATGTGGCAACACAATTTACCCCTCCACAAAAGTGCCATTCAAAATCGCAAAAAGCCATCCGTCTATGTTAATTTCTTGGTACCTCCGGTAATCAAACATGGTTTTCCCAGCTATAAACAAATGATTTTCCCAGCTATAAAGCTTCATTGATAGTGGATTTCCCAGCTAGGCAAGCTGGATTACTGGTGGGTACTGTATGCTGGTCATTTTTGTGGTATTTACCATCCATATACCAATCTTACGTAGTCCCTTATTGTTGAGGTTATCTTGTGTATAAATGCGGAAACTGACACTTACTATTGAACCAATATAGAGGGTTATGCATGGTTATGCACCATTGTTGGTTGGTCATAAACGAAGTCTATACCATTGACAAGTTGTTACTCAATTGTTTGATCACATTCAATTACCCTCTGGTAAACGTTTACATAGCTATTGAAAATGGCCCAGTCGAAATAGTGAGTTTTCCCATAAAAAATGGTGATTTTCCATAGTTAGTTTGTTTGTTGGTTTATAATACCCATTAACTGCATATGAGCGATTGTGAAAACCCTAGGTTCACGGAAAGGACATTCACAAATTTGGGAAGGTCCCATCGCTTACCACACGTTTGTACAATAATGATATATGGTAAACTTGGGGGGTATCGCTTGCAGGAAACTGCTGTATTTATATATATATATATATGATGAACTATGAATAATATGTGATATTTGGGTATCGCTAATGTGGATATTAGAGAAATATGATGACATAACCTTGAAAAGGGGTATCGCTAATTTGGGAAGGTCCCATCGCTTACCTCGTGTTTTTAACAATTTCCATCAATTTCCATAAGCCAATGTCCGTCGAATACATATTTAGTATTGCCGGGGTTTTTACGGTTGCTCATATGAAAAATCACCATTTTTAAAGGGAAAATCCAGTATAAATGGCCGTTTTCAATAGCTTTTTGTATGTTTACCAGAGGATACCAGAGGGTAAACTCCCTTTTGCGGAGTGGAAAAAATGCTGGCCCTTTTCTTATTCGCACCTGGATGTAGGTCATAGGGTCATGTTGTCAATCTGGTGGGATTCCGCGGGTGTTCATTGGGTCCCATTGGGTTGACCACTTACCCTCCAGTAAATTAACATAGACCCTGGTAGATAGGGGTTGGAAGATTAGTTTCCTCTAAAAATTGGTGATTTTCAGGGTCTATGTTAATTTACCAGAGGGTACTAAGCATTGTTATGGTTATAATATCCCCATGTTGGCTTTGTTCTGAATCCTGATTGATGGTTTCAACCTGTCCCAAGGAAAAATAACCCTCTGGCCTCTGGTAAACAAACATAACTATGGAAAATCACAAATTTTAATAACAGGTAAATCAACCATTTCTATGGCCATTTTCAATAGCTATTATGTTAGTCATTAACAGAGGGTAGTCAATCTGGATAATCATCCCAATTTTTTCGTGGAAACTCCAAAATCTTTGGTGTGTTATCCGTTTGAGCAGTGTCAACACAACTATTGGATTATTGGATTCCCAGTTCATGGCTTACTGGTGCTTAGTAGGGAATGGATGGGAATGGGGGAATGGGATGATTATTGCTAGTGATTATGGATCATTCCATCATTCCCTGCTAAGCACCAGTAAGATGGCTTGTGAGAATCAGCAATATTTAAATGGAAGTATAACTCCCAATCATCAACCAATGAACCAACAATCATGTGTCAGCTTTTTCTCAACTATATCCCCACATGTTTGATGGTGAAATCCCATTCAAAACCCGTTTAGATCCCAGATCATCCAAATTATTTTGGGTTAGATAAGTACTGTAGTTCTATAATCTATATCCCCATGTTTGGTTAATTACATAATATATAATTACCAACTTTCCAACATCTTTGAGTACCATATCACTTATATCAAGTTATATCCCCCATGTTCTGTTGCATACTACATATGAATACATATGGGGGTTCCATAAATGGGGTACCCCTAAATCATCCATTTGAAAAGGATTTTCTATTTTGAAACATCCATTTGAATATGGATCCCCCTGTTTATGGAAGCCTCCATATGATTATTATGAGTTGTAAAAGCTATAAGCATCTATTCTATTATAAGCCTTGCATTCATCATTCACCAACACGGCAGCAGTCAGAAACCCCTTGGGGTCACGAAACCCTGGCCCAGGCTGCTTGGAAGGCTTATCTTTGCCTCAACGGTCGCAGAAGTGAAAAAACAGCTCCGATCGGAGATCGGGTGGGCTGGGTGGGCTGGGTGGGCTGGGTGGGCTTGGATCTTTATGGATTTTTACATAATAAAAATGTGGATTATTTTTTTGGGGGGGATTTTCATGGATTGTCCTACTTTAAAAAAATGTGGCTGCAAGCCGTGCGCAACCTTGAAATCCCGGTTTACGATTGGGACTGGGCTGGATTCGTAGGGATAAACCCAACAAGAAATAGGATAACCCAACATTGAACATGGGAATGCCACAGGGCTACAGCAGGATTTCACAAAGAATATGATAAAAATAGGCTTGTGCAACATGTTGGATTCACAAACCAATTTCTGGGGAATAAATAATAGGGAACATGATGTTGTAAACCATGAGATGGAATGCGGCAATTTTAACCCTGGATTCAAGAACCCTGGTTACCTGGTTGATCAATTAGGGGGGTAACACCGGAAAAGTGATCATCTGCCACTAAACCCAACCACTTAAGCCGCCCAGCGGTCAAGATACCCTCCAGTAATCGAACATGACAATGAGAAATTGCGTATAAATGGGCATACCCAGCAAAATTTAAGATATGACATGGTGGCGACCTACCAGTTGTATATCATTGTTTCTTTTTTGGGGAACCTTTCATGATTTTTCCACATCGCTAAAAATGCCGAAGGATTTTTCTACTTTATCTAACCCAATCCACTAGATCCCACAGTTTCCCATAGAAACAAGGACTTGAACAGCCATGGGAACATGACCATCATGGGGCAAAGTTTCCTAAGGTTTTTCAACCCCGAAGTTTTAGTCAAAAACCTCAAAAACCAAAAAAGTCATGCAACATGGCTATTTTTTAAATGGCTATGTAAAATTAGCCATGGCCATGTCAAATTACAATAATTAATTTTAAAAGGCATATCATCGAACTAAATGGGCCATGCATACCATAGGCAGCAAATGAGCAGAGAGCAACCAACGATCATTGCTGAAATCTGTCAGCCATATTTCGACGCTTTTCCCAGCCATAAACCTAATTTCTTCAATGATTTTCCTAGCACCAGCGTCAGCATCCACCATCTCCTTCCCTGGCTTTCGAGCTTCAGCACCAGTGTCAGCTTCAAATTCAAAACTTGTCTTTCAAGTGCAACCCGGCCTTAGGATTCTTCTCTGCAAACGTGCATCTGCAATCCTCCGGCCTTCCCACTTCAGAGAAATCGCCTTCCTCTTCTTCCCGGCATCCGCTGCAGCTTCACCCATGGAGCACACAACAAAGTCGCATCACATCCTCCATTTATCATTTATCACGGGAATTTCACCAGCACCGGTAGATCCCCACCCGGCCCCTGGGACTTCCGAACCCAGCACCGGGCTGTGCGTGAAGGAATACTTCGGAGGGCTCTGGGCCATGGGGGGAGCGATGGGGAAAGGGTGCACCCTGATGGGGATGGGGGTGCTTTGTGGAGTTCAATAGGGATTCAGCCATTTAAAACATAGGTATTCATAGGGATTTGACTTGATTTAACCGTCAAAGTTCAAATTTAATCCTCAAACATTCGGAGTTTAGGTGACTTAGCCAACAAACATGGTGATTTAATCTACAAATGGCGGTGTAATAGGACAGAATGGGTATATAATGGGGATAACTATCAGTGCAGCTACAAGGTGGCGACCCAGTTCGATAGCTATGGTTTTAACCAAAATAACCAGGGTTTATGTTTGATATACCTATAGTTAGATTGAGCTATAAACCCACTGATAACTGCAGCGGCATTGCGCTGTGGGGGATTTAACCTGGAGTAAAGCAACCTATGGAAAATCCGCGGTTTTCTCGGAGAATGATCAGTAAAAGGTGGTTTGCGAATATCTATCAAAAAGGTGCTTTCAACAACCCAGATACCAGGGGGGAACATACATAAACTTTGGCACCAAGGGATTATCTTCAGAGAAACCCATTACATATGCGGAGATTGTCCAATGCCATTTCCAACTATATAATCCGTACCCCCTAAAAATGGTTGTTCAGTATTGAATCCATCAATCTCGGGGTCTCTTATTGGGTTTATTTTCATGATAAAGGGCTGGGGTTTAATTGTTCACTTGTGTCTGGTATGTGTCGCATTAACCAGCATTTTGGATATTTTTGTTAGTTTTAGGTTCCAATCCCATTTTGGATGGTTAGTTAAACACCAATGTTGCAAGCGCGACTCTATGTCCAATGCTAAATCCTCATCCCCGTTGATATTTTTTTGGTTGTTTTCCCAGGTGCTTCGATGGTTATTGCTGGAAACGGCAGACTCATGGGCCAAAATATCCAAAATCCTTCATCCATAGATGCATTTCCTACATTTTCCTATGGTGACGTCGCTAAAGTTCAGCCCATGTATGCAGTTGCTGTATGTTGCTATATAATTTTGATAGAACTAATTCTATTCCCATGATCTTGGAATAGGTTTCAACCCATCTGAAGAATATTCTCGATATGGGGGAATCGTCATTCCATTTCAATGGTAGAAATTAACCCAGCATACGACCCCAAAAGCAAGGCTTTACGAACACCAAGAGACCACCAAGAAACTAGCGGCACAATCAAGACATATGAGCAAACGGTGAGAGACCACATGCATTCATAACCTGAATCTCTCCTAAGGCGCGGTGTAGGCTTTCTGTTCTCCCATATTTCGCTGTCTTCCATGACACTCAGCCGCAGGAAGGGGGCATCCACTGACACACGTCCACTGGCAGCGACCAGACCCTCAACAGGATCACCATGTCGGTCCTCCAAGTAGTCGCGGACTGACAGTTTCGGATTGTGTCTACAGTTCGGATTCACGTGATGCTTCAAATATGTCAACTGTAGCTGTGGATAACATGAAACGTGAAACATGGAAAGTTGGGGGGTATCATCATCCGACTTCAATAGTAGAAAATAAACGGGAATGAAACCACCAACTACGTAGGATTATATTGCTATAATATCCCCATAATCCAAGTGGTTATCAACCACGGCTAGTTGGAACATTCCCCAATAATCTAATATGTGTTTTGCTTTTAATATCTAATTCCCCACTCAGTTCCCCATCTATAGATGTCCATGAACACTTCCCCAGCAAGATCCTCAGCACCAAGGAACTTTGAAGCCCGAGGAGGCGTTGAGGTTGAGCTGCACCGCGCGGGGCATGGCGATAGGGGGTTCAAACGGTTCAACCCAGGATTTGATGACGAAGGTAATTTCAATATGATTTACAGAATACAGGATGGGCCCCCCCAGTGATGTGAACGTTGGTTTATAAATCATTATATATAATCCCCATTAGCCATAGATATATCTACCATAAACCATAGAAATCAATCACTTGTATACCAACTTAGCTATCTTGGGGAAACCATCTTGTAATATTTTATATGTTTTGAAAACACATAAAAACACATCATGAGCCAGTTACCAAGTAGGTAATACGTGGTAATGATCATATATAAGATAGTTCGATTGATGGTATATAGCGATATAGCAGCGTATCGGTTACTGATCACTTATTATACGTTGCCTGGAATGCACTCCCAAGATCTCCCAAGTACTTCTCATTATCCCCAATCATCTAGGGTTTGACCAACCACAATGCTACCACCACGGGGATTTAAGCAGCAGAGTTATGAGAGCAACCAACCGTGTTATATTCCCCAAACAGTGTGTTTACAGTAGGTTCTTACGATAATACTCTCTGTGGGCCCCAGCGTTTGTCTGCACAGGCTCGCACAAAGTTCCGTTGTGAGATGTCCATGGGCATTTCGAGTGCGCAGGCTCGCACAAAGTGTGGGCCGTAAAATTTGTTTCTTCCGAAGGTGTCGTTTTACCAGGCGCGCGGTACCCATTTTTTGAGCTATGTCTATCTTTCGTGGCAGGAGTGGTGCTTTGGGGGCATCTTGAAGTCTAGAACGTCTTTTTGCGCGCCAGGTACAGGACATCAGACACTTTTTCATCCGCGTGGCAGGCGTGGCACCTTCGGCAGGCGTGGGTCAAAATGAGATGTGGTTTTGGAAGTCATTTTTCGTGGCAGGCGCAGTAGTATTTGGTTAACTTGGGCAGCGTTTTGAAAGGGTCGAAAGTCTCGTTTTGTGAAACTGTCGTCATTTTTGAGTTGGGGCATGATGATGGTTCCGTGTGGCAAGTGCAGCACTTCGCCTCGGGATCTTTTTTTTTCGTGACAGGTGCAGTCTTTGTAGACCTCAGTAAAAAAGTGACCGAAAACTAGGTAAAACATTATTTTTGATATTTTCATTGTTCCTTTTTCGTGGTGCCCAAAGCACTTGGTGAAAATCTAATATGTGCTGGCACTTTGTGCGTGCGATCGTTGTGGCACGGTGCTGATTTTAGTTGATTCTCTGAGATCCTGGAAAAGAGATCTTATGAGTTCTGTGGGAGGTGCTTCTATGACGACCTTGCAAGAGTTCAACGATCCACTCTAAGATCTCCGTCCTATATGAAGATCTTGACTAAGTAAGGTCTTGTAGAGATTTATAGAGGTTCTTATGAGAAGATGTTGTGAAGATCCTGATGAAATCCTGCCAGGGATCCTAGCATGATCTTGTACAGGTCCTCGTCAGAAAATCTTGTGGAGAGATCCTCTCTAAGAGGCCCTTGCATGAAGATCTTGCACATGCCATGTATTTCAGGTGCTTGTATGAAATCTCTTCTGGCATGCCTTTGGGAAGTTCTTGTATCAAGATCTTGCAAGATCCGCTCCAGCAGCAGGTCCTTTTATGACGATCTAGTGGGATTCTCTTGGGGGTCCATGCATGAAGATCTTGGTCAAGCTTTTTTACAATCCCTTGTGACATGATCTTGTTCAGGTCCTTGTCAGAAGATCTTGCGGAGATCCTGTCGAAATCCTCTTCAAGAGGTCCCTGCATTGGGATCTTCAAAATGCGCTGCATGGTTGCTTGTATGAAAGTTCTTCTGGGATGCTCATAGAAGTTCTTGTATAAAGAACTTGTGAGATCGTCTATAGAGAAAATCCTTCTTTGAGGATTTTGTGGAATTCTCTTAGATGTCCTGGTACGAGGTTCTGGCATGAGGTCCTGATGAGTTGACATGGTGTTGCTTCTTGTGACAAAGCAAGTTCCTTCTGCTGCAGTTACGATAATGCCTGACCTGATCTGTTACTGTTCCATAGCTGCTGTTGCTTGTATCTGGTGCATTGACTTCCTACCCCCCAGACTGTTTGGGCTCTCTTGTTGATGTAATGATTATATTTTGTGGAATAATGAGATATATAATATATAAAGATTCAACTATATTTTTCATAATATATATAGCAAACAATATGAACTTTGGGTGTGTCTGAAAATCCTGGGATGCCCCCAGCATTGTAATTTTACTGGCTGAAATGGTGATTATAGGTGTTAAAAACAAACCTGAATCACAATCGAGTCTGTTGAAGGGAACACACATTTCGGTTGAAACCCACGGAAACCTTGTTTTTTTCCTGCTATTTTGTTGAGGAAAACTTGTAGATTTTGCCTCAAAGCAATTTGGGGACGATTCTTTTGAGGTACAAAAGCTGAAAAATATGGTAACACACTAAAAGTCACTAAAAATCTGGAGGGCAACCAAACCATCCGTTCGGGTTCGATGATCCATATAGAATAACGTTTAGATATCCCACAAACAAGTCGATGATTCGGGGCATGATTCCTTGATTCGTGTCAAGTACAACAATTTGGCCCGAAACATCTGCCAGCTACCAGGGCTTACCTGGAAGTATTCCAAGATTTGGAATTACAACAACTGCACTCGGACACCCCCTTTTCCCCTACCTGATCGGCCATAGTTCCAAAACCGCCTGCGCGGCAAATCGGACAACAGGGAGAAATGGATAATTTTCTCCAACGCAAACAGAATTGAATAGTCTATCTTGGGATGGGAATGAAATCACTAAAACATCGGAATTGGGCTGATATTAACCCATGCTCAGGTTGCCGCATCCATTCCATATGGAGCTTTCCTACAATGGGGGTACCCCTAAATCATCTATTTTAATAGGATTTTCCCTTATACACCATCCATTTGGGGATCTCCCATCACCAAGCTTCTGAGATCTTATGAATGGTTCTGCCAGTTCTGCACCGGTTTCTGGATGATTTATCATGATCGAGGGAATCATCCACAAATGGCCGAAGATTTCAGCTCGTTTCAGGCTATTGAATTACAAAAAACAGATGGCTTTGAAAGGTTGTCATTTCCATATTCTTTCTATGGCTTAGTCCGAGAATATGTTTTGAACAGGCTTCAAACTCCAATGGTTTGCCATGATGGTCTCATTGAATTTGTGATTGGGGGATACCCCCAAGTTTGAACAAATCCTAGAAATGTGGGTTCTATGTTAGATTTACCCTGTCGTAATTCAGCATAGCTTTGGAACATGGCCCATTTATAGTTGGTTCACCAACCAAAAAAATTACTATGTTCCATAGCTATGTTAAATTGCCAGAGAGTAGGGTGTGTGTGTATCCTCTTTATCGCAGATACTAGGGGGTTACCAGCTCAAAATTCTTCTTTACCCAGTGATCTTCACAGCTATTTGCCAACGAGTAGTCTAACTTGTCTATATTTTTTTAAGCAAACAATTGCTCTTCACAGTGATATTCGTATGACATGGGGATATAACATGTTAGCCAGTGATATTCATATTCGTCTTTATTTATTCGGGTTATGAGTATGTAAGCATACAAAAAAAGAGGATAAGAACCAACCAAAAATGGCTGTGGATATTACCCAAAGTAGGCATATTCAGATGAAAAGTGGAACAAGTGGGCCTCTGTCCCCTACCTACACGCCAAGTTAGGTGCACCCAATTCCTACAGTGAAAGAGAGTCCCGACAGTCCGGCAACTGCTGGACCTGTGAAATCGCCTCTTTTCGGCTCTTGTCCAACTGAATCAGATTCTTTAAAACGACAATGAATAAAAACTCAGTACAAAATCAATAGTTGCGAGAAATTGTTTGGGCCTTCTTCAGTTTTGGTGGTTTCAATGGCTAATTCTTCACCAAGAGTGTTGGTTACAATACTGATATACTGATTATAAAACCATCATTGAAAACTTTATATTATAATAAGGCTTTGTCTCAAAACATGGTTTATCATGGCTTGTCATCATTTTGTCCACTAAAATTGCCATAGAAATTAGATTTTTCCATGATTTTCCAATGTTTTTATTGATTTTCCGATGATTTTCCCATGTGTCATGGATTTTCTGCTGATTTTCCCATGTTGTTATGGGACAACCCCAGCATGACCCAACCGTTGCCCCGCCTGTTTTCACGTGGTTGGCCGACCCCGACCACCGGGCCCTTTTTGGTTCTCTCCGTGCGCCCAGCCACCGTGCCGGGTCCGGGATGAAACACTGCGGAGACGGGTGCTGTTACGAACTATTGGTCTGCCAACATACGCAAAACTATGGAAAATCACCGTGTTTAATGGGAAAACTCACTATTTCGACTGGGCCATTTTCAATAGCTGTAAGAAATTATCAGAGGGTCAGAGGGTCTGGTGGTTGTAGTTGGGATTCCCAAGAATTGTGATGATTCCAAAGAATTGTGATGGGCAATAGAAGCCCCGAACTAGTCAGCAACAGGCTTTGGAACACTGCCCAAGTGGTTTGGGATGGACACGGTAGAGAAAATCACATCGACACGGCAGTAACTGGAAGATACAAGATGGGGCCCCCAGTCGAGCTCGCGTTCAGTTGGTTTATGTTTGTGGTTGATTTCTATGGTTTATGGTAGATATAACGAACTAGTTTATGGGGATTACAACGGTTTATAAACCAATTTATAACTGGGGCCCCATCCTGTATGGCTGTAATTGTCCTGAACATTTTCTTTAATTAACAAAGACCCTGCCAAATAGGGGTTGGACGATTACTTCCCCCGAAACAAAGGCTACTGTATTCTCAGGGTCCATATTGGGCGGATGGAAATGAAGGTTGGGTTCCATCTTGCTATATGAACCCAAGCCGGGTTGATAAAGGCTGGGATGGTTGAAATTCGACCAATTTTTCTCTAGAAGGACGACAGTGGTCTGGCTCAAAAATTGTCTATTTCTACAGTTTGCCATGGAAAATCACCATCATTGATAAACCATCGAACTAGATGGGAAATGTTCTTCATGTTTAAATACCAGAAACTTCTTTAATTCTTTAAAGCCATCCATTTTAGGGATGATACTGTAGTCGCACCACTCCATTAGGTTCAGCACTACGCCCAACTGATCGATCATAAGCCATAGCCATGGTCAAACACGCATAAATGATGGCTGTTGAAGCTTTTTTTTTGTCAGGGTCCCTAGATTGGACACCAAAAAAATCACTAAAATTCATCAACTTAGACTTCCGAGGAATCCTTATTTAAAGATGATCTTTCCAGCTATAAACCTCCTTATTTTTGATGGGGATTTCGCCCGTTTTTTTCTCACCGCAGCCGCGACGATGTTCGGATGAAACGCTCTGTTGATGCCGTGACCCTGAGAAACAAATGCTTCCTAATTAGTGAGAAAACATGTGAATCAGCAAACGTACACCCTAAATTGAGGTTTTCCATTAAAACATATGGGAACATCATCTGTCAATGGGGGAAGTTAACCAATGATATATTTAAGGTTACTCTCTGGTGATGTGTTACATAACTATGGAAGCCATGAGTTCAATGATTTTCCATTTTCAAACATGTTGATTTTTCATAACTATATATGTCACATTACCAGAGGGTCACCAGAACATCTTGGGTAAATACCACAATAATTCCGTGACAAACTTGGAACGTGAGACTTCCGGTGCATCTTATGCTTCAACATTCATTCAAATCACGAAAAAAAACCGTTGGGTTTATAGTTTATGGGACATTTTACATCATTTTACAGTACACCTTGTTTTTCTTCCATTTTTGGGAGGCTCCTAAAAAAATTGCCCATAGAACAAGTCTGAATCGTATTTTCAATTTTCGGGGGCTTATATGGCGTGAGTGTTGAGCATTGACTACGTTCATTTGGGGGGTTCATATGCCTCCGGTGGTTCAATGTGCAATTTGCTTGGGCGCCTTCAAAATGTGAACGCCAGCCTATCCTGAACGGATTTCCCAGTGGATTGTGATCGTGCCCGATATATTGGATAGTAAATGATGGTAATAACATGTAATAACCCCATATAATCATCACTCAAGCATTATCAGTGATGGCACCATATGTTTGATGCTTAACTCCCAATAAAACAAAATGGTTTTTAATCCCATGGAACTGCCCGGAGCAGTTTAGAAAACCTTTCACCTTTCTTCACAGACTCAGGCCCCACGAATCAGCGAGTGTTGGATAGCACGGCCAACCTGCGGTGTTTTTCAAACTTTTCCAAAGATGGCTGGTTGGTGATTTCATCCTTCATCCCACGTATGGCCCACAAAAACTGGTTATAAAAATTCAGGTTTCCGAAGTCATGGTGGTACCCCCAAATCATCCCAAATTCTCAATTTTAGTTTTGAAACCTATGGTTGTGTGGCTCCCCAATTTTAGGAAACCTCCATGTGTTTGGAAGCAATCAACCAAAATGGAGATTTCTCCAAACTTGATTTTGAGAAATGGAACAACAATGTGAGATGCGTGGGGAAATGAGTTGTGTAAGGTCCAGAGGCCCAGTTTTCTACGGGATGAATCAGACTTGATTAGACATGGATCACCATTATCATTTACATCACCATTACAGTATATGGGGTTTCCTAAAATAGGGGTACCCCTAGTTATCATCCATTTATAGATGGATTTTCCCTGATAAACTATCTATTTTGGGGTACCCACATTAATGGAAACCCCCATATCACCATTCTATCACCATTCTATCACCATTCTATCACCATTCTATCCCCATTACAAAACAATAGTCATCGCCAAAAAGATGCTGAAACAAATGATTCATTACGTTTCATCACTGCTAAGCAGTTGGATATTACTTTGCTATGAATATTTTGAATAGGGATACTACTTGGCGGCTCATGCCACTTACCAAGTAGGTTCTTACCCTAGTTTGTTGAGTGGATTAACACCAGGGATATACCTTATTTAGTGACATGAACCACCAATTATATATATGATATAGTGGTTTCCTAAAATGGGGCTACGACAATGGGTCAACATCCCTTTGCTGGTTGGTGGTTTGGAACATGTTTTATTTTTCCATATATTGGGAATAATAATCCCCACTGACTAATATTTTTCAGAGGGGTAGGTATACCTTATACCACCAACCAGTTTTCTTTCCCTGACTGAAATAGAAACCATCCATGGACGTTGCCGGCCGTTGGTTTGGCCTTCTTTTCGGCGACGTGCATCGCCCGATCGAAGGCCTCAGTGCTAAACTTGGAATATTTGTTGGTGATTGATATATTGTCAATATAGTTGGTTCCATATATTGTTATTGTGAATCACTAGTCGATTCCATATATTGTTAATATGAGTGATCTTGTTAAACAGTTAGTTCCTGTAGTTACTAAACCAATATCGCCAATTTTAGCGTGTTGGAGATCGGGTTGATCCAGGCGACCCAGTGGTGTCCGATGATTTACCGTTTTCAGACACGGTGATTTTCCATGGCTATGTCAAACTACCAGAGGCTATATCAAGAAAAGTTGGACATCATCAAAATTGCTTCATGGTTGTTTCATCAACAACCTGACCGGTTGAACAATCAACCGGACCTGAGAACTTACCTCCAAAAAGAAAGAGCAAATAGAATTCAGCATTTTTTTGACTGGGTTTGATGGATGTTAATGGGGGATGTATCATGATACATCCATGGTTTTCATTTCTGTTATAAACCAAAAAACATACCTGCTTCGTCGTTGAGAAAAAGTAAATTGGTTATAAGGCCAACTATAACTGGACACGAACAAAAACCCTACCTACCGTATCCTATTTATGACTGGGCTTATAACCCACTTAGTAACTACCAGGTCGATTTGGAATCACGTTCATCTCTCTTTTCTCGGGAATCACCTTTCAAAAACCCCTGGCTATGAGTCAAAACCCGGGTATCCTAGCCAGTTCCCTAAAATAACTGGTTCATGGATGTTCATTCCCCTGAATAAGGCAGTTAGAAGTTTTGACCCATCCCCCTATGTTTGGACATGGTGACTTAGTCCATGGTCAATCCCAAAGTGAACATATTAACCCTCTGATAAACTACCATAACTATGGAAAATCACCTTTTTCAATGGGTAAATCAACTATAAATGGCAATTTTCAAGAGCTATGTTATATAGTTTACCAGGGGGTAGGTATCATATTGGATGGCAATTGGTCACAAACTTAGGTACAGTCAACATCCCTCAGATGTGTTCTTCCAATGCCTGTTCACCCGATTTTAACATCACTATGGAACCAACATAGTTTGCTTGATGATGGTCAAACACAGAGTAACTGAATGTTAGGGTATGTACAGATTTATTCTGGCGATATCAAACAATATTAAATAACACCTGGATAACACGCTATCATTGCTACTGATATCAGAAAATATTTACATTGTCTACAAAAGTGTTTGACCTTGAGTACCATCAGCTACTCTCTGGCAATTTACTGTAACAATTTGCTATGGGAAAATCACCATGTTTAAAAAGTACATCATTGAACTAAATGGGCAATTTTCTTCCATCTATACCATAACAAACTTTTAGATGACCATCAACTAACCATCATCATCTACAAACAGGCCATCAATGACATAGCTATCTTAAATTACCAGAGGATAACCATTTAACTCAAAACACATCATGATTTTGAGGCTGCAACTACCATACAAACGAGGCCTGTAAAACCTCAAAAATAACCCCAATAAAACACATGATAATCTGATAGCCACATAGTCTCACCCCTGGCCAACCAACAAATAAATGGGGTATTAACCGGAATAGCGGCATAACCTTGTGATGTGAACCCCCATAAGTTTCTGAAATGTTGAGTAATCAACTATAAATGACCATTTTCAATAGCTATGTTATGTTAGCTTACCAGAGGGTAAAACGAACATCTTGTATTTTTTATTTCCCCCATGCGGCTGGTCGTTTTGAAAACCATCCGTCCTTCCGTCGAAGAATTGGATGGAACAATTGCTAGGAACTGCAAATTTCAATTTTACAGAAAATCAACACAGCGTTTTGTTGTGGGTCAAGAAACTGTGCAAAACAAGAATTCCTGGTTCAAAATCTCTGAATTAGTTCGATGAATCCATCGTTTTGAATGCCTTACCGGAAAGTCATCACATTTTTGGTTGTATATCACATTGTATGCGCAGTACATCCACATTGTTGTTGATGGTTCTACCATTTTGGATGCTTAATTCTGCATTATTTCCCAAAATCCATGAATCAAACCACTCTAATCCCCATGATATCTCCATTAAATTCTCATAAATGAGGACTATGTACCCATGAAAATCAATTAAAATCTATTAAAATCCAATAAAATCCATTAAGATCCATTAAGATCCATTAAGATCCATTAAGATCCATTAAAAATCCATTAAACCACTATAATCCGAAAGGGTGCCCCCGAAATCGAGGTCAAAACTTGGGTGCCCCACCCAGTATGCTTCGTTGGCAGCACGGCGGGCAGCCAGGACGGTGGGGGGGATACGAAACCTGAGCCGATCATCGGTGATGGGATTCATGGGATGGGATGGGATGATCATAGCACATATAATCTGGTACAGGATGGGCTCCCCAGTGATGTGAACGTTGGTTGAGAAAAACCATGGGAAAACCATGGGAAAATGGTGATTTATATGGAAAATCATCATTTTTAATGGGAAAATATGAACCATAGTTGGTTTATAAACCATTAGCCTATCCCCATGAACTATAGTTATATTATATCTACCATAAACCATAGTTGAGCCACTTATAAGGCAACTGAACGCTATCTTGGGGGCCCAATCCTGTATAATACATAATGGTAATATACAATGGTAATAAATAGTGGTAATATACAATGGTAAATAATGGTAATATATAATGGTAAATAATGGTAAATAATGGTATATAAATTGTATATAGTGGAAATATTACATTATATATATATGATGGTAATATACATAATGGTAAAATACATAATGGTATATAATGGCAATATATAATGATATACTGTATATTACCTATATATACCTATATATATATAAACATTTCTACTTGGTGGCTCATCCCGCGAATCCTAAGTGGGTGATATCCCTAGTTTTTTGAGTGAATTAACCCTACTCATCCCACTTGTGGGAATCCACGGATTGGGCACATGCTGGCCACTATTCCAGCACCATGGAGCATCTGGAATGATGCCTTCCAAGAATTTAACAAAAATGATCGAACATGTTGTTGTGACTACGAAAACCATTGTCTTGGGGTCGCCCAATGTTTACACAGCCTTATTGGGAAAACACACCATGTGCAAATAAAAAACACCTGGTAGTTTGATGGAGAATTAGTCCGCCAGGGTGCTGCCTTCAAGCGATCCCGACCGTGGCAAATATTCCGGCATAAACCCTGATAGTATATCTTACACCTATTCGGACATTTGATCTGGCACATATCCTGGCATTCTATCTGACATTTTTCTGCCATTCTATCTGACATCTTACTTGACATTTTTATGACATGCTATCTGATATCTATCTCGCACATATTCTGACATTCTATCTCGCATGTCTTGACATCGTATCTGACAGTCTATCTGACATTCCATCTGGCATTTTATCTGGCAATGTGTTCAGGCCCGGCAGCCCAGAGAGTTGGCGAGCTCGCAGACTGGCAAACAAATTTGCCATGACGTGGTGGGGGGAAGATTGCTGGGTGTACATGGTTGGGTGTGTGTGTGTGTGTATGTGGGCATGTGTGTGGGCGTGTGCCTCCAGGATGTCTGGTTAATCTAAAGAACCTTACAGGCGGGGAATGAAGTTATCCGACTTCGGGTTCGTGAGAAACTAGTGTACCCAACCCATCCGTTGGTTGATCATCATTTTTGCGTATGGCTATGGCATTTTTTGGGGGAACACCCCATTGGCAAACAAATCCAGTTGGACCGGAATTTGCACATATTTACGCGAAAACAAATCTGAGAGAGATGAATGGCGAAATGGATCTCAGAGTTTGTTTCTATGGCATGAAAAACAGGAACTGACTGTGCCAATCTTACCGAGCAACATAGGATTGAACAGCACAAAATTAAGATATGACACCTCGCGGGCAAGCATTTCCAAAATATTCTAAGCAACAAGGTATTGGTTGATCGGTACTATTCGATGTGGAAACTATGGACAGCTGCATCTTCAGCAGCAGCAGCAGCAGATCCATTCCGTTTTGATGTGTGAAAGGCTTTGCGTATGTTGGTATGCTTGTTTTTTTACCCCGAGAGGTGGTATTCATGATGCGCATAATCAATGTTGAGGTATACAGGTATGCAAATCATGATGTAGCACTCGGATGTGATCTTGAACAGCACATGGCTTTAAAAACTATATAAACCATTTGAAATGGGCTATCTCATGTTCATACCGCATGCCAGTTTCAAGGAGTAAATGGCACTGTTGCCTTGTTGCCTGTATTGAGGCCCCGGCTCTCCACATTCACGGAAGAAATCCTCGGTGTGCACAGGGCTATTTAATTTGTTAGTTTCCAAGTGGTCCACGGTTGTCTTTTGAATGCAGCATTGACTTGGAAATTGCCATGCAAACTTGTGATCCTTTGCTGGTGGTAAATTTGTCTAAAAACACGTCTTTTGATGAACACACTTGTTTCCCTCTCGGTTTGTGCTGGAACAGCGACCCTCCCTGCGCTACTCTGCGACTAAATTGGTAGACATATTCATGTGTTGGAAAAAAACCTTTGCTTTTTCCAAGAGTTCCATCTATACAGTTACTACCTTTTGTGATCGCGTGCTCGTGCCAGAATGCTGTCGTCTAAGTTGATTCCAAAACAAAAAACCTCGTATGATGCCAGATTTGAGCCTTGCAGCATGAAATGGCTTGGGAAACATCATATGTGAATGGCCAGGTGGCGGCCTTGCTGGAAGCAACAATGCTAAAACATATTCTATGTCGGTGTCCATTTTGACGTAAATTTAGATGGATTCAATCCACGCACCACGCAGCGCTGAGGATTCTGGCACCCCAGTTTTCGACCTCCTTTGCCTGCTCCAAGTCAGCATCTTCTTGAATTTCTTCCTCCACCTCTGCAGCAAGGGGCAGCGGGCCCCTGAAAGGCGCCATGGCACGTGGTGAAGATCATTGATTTTTTGGTTACGGAGGCAAAGAAATCGACAGTCTTCAATCTCTAGTTGCTTTCAAAAATGATTTGAAGATACTGGGTGGCTTGGTGAAGAACAGCCTTCATTTTCTGAATCCAGGTTGCTCCAACGCATTCAGCAGCCAATAGTCCAATAGCCCTTCGGGTTTTGTGATACGCTCAGTTTCTTTATTTTTAATCCAAAGAAAAATAGAATGTAGGAAACTCCTTTGACCCTTACAAACCTGCGTCTGCACTCCCTCGCACATCACCAGGTCTCCTCTGAATGGTTATCAAACTAAGCCGACTAAGAAACGCTGAGTCTTTACCCTCTGGTAAACAAACATAGCTATTGAAAATGGCAATTTTTAGTGGATTTTCCAATTAAAAATGGTGATTTTCCATAGTTGTGTTAGTTTACCAGAGGGTAACTCATGGCTCTAAACTGCATGTCCATCTGGAAAGCCACCTCCTTGATCCCATTTTCTTGTGGTACCCTGGATGCTCGCAGTCCATGATCTCTCCGTCACCAGAAGTTTCTTCAAATGCCCCCCCCCCAAACCATACCCTGGTAAACTAACATAACTTTGGACAAGCACCTTTTTTTAATGGGAAAATCAACTATAAATGACCATTTTCTATAGTTATGTTGGTTTACCAGAGGGTAGGTTTCAATATCAAAAAGGACTAATTTGGGATGATTCCAGGGTACCACCATGACTTCGGAAACCTGAATTTGTATTTTCTGAATGGGATCAACATCCAAGCTGAATGACAGCACCAGGAGGACATACGAGCAATCGGAAACAATTCCCCCCTGTTTGTCTCTGATCGAAAACCATGTACCATGGTCTGATACACGGGTAAATTTCCAAGGAAACGAGATGATGATCCCTTATGTTCACAGGGGTTACAAAATACCTGTACCATTTTTTCAATCCCATTCGTGATGTGGCCCAGTTCGTGAGCCAAGTTGGTAAACAACATCCAACCAGCTGTTGGGTTCTTGGTAGATGTATTGAACTAGTTCATGGGTGTAAGAGAAACCAACAAACATGTGCCATGGTCAAGAGTTGGTTTACATATGCACACAAGGAGATGGTCATCAATCCAATACTAGCGATCAATATACCCATCAGAAGGAATCCCATTCATGATGGTGGGATGACCATCAACCATTGCTCCCATGTAACTTGCCCATAGCAAATTCTGTCAACGTCAATTAATTGTATGGGATATGATATCAAATCAACTGAAAGATGCAACATTAAAAAAATGTTTCACACTTTATTTTGTCAATGATCATGGGTTCTTCTGGATCTCACTAGCCATTTCTTCTGGCTTACAGCAACCCCCATGACTACGCCACGTCCTAAGCGATGCGCAGTTTGAGAGCGTTGCCGACCACCAGAATTGAATCACTACGTAAGTTGGATAACATCGGTGAAAATCGCTATTATACGCGGAATTAGCCATGTAACATGTTCAAATGGCGATGGTGTACACATTGGAACACACAGTAGATGTTCCGTTGGTGTGTTCATTGGAGAACGAAAATTAAAAATCATGACCACTGATTGGTACAAAAAAAACCATTTGCTAGCTACCCTCCAGTAAATTAACATAGACCCTGGCAGATAGGGGTTGGAAGATTAGTTTCCATTAAAACTAGGCTATTTTCAGGGTCTATGTTAATTTACCAGAGGGTATATACTATAAACCAAAGTTATCCAATTTTGTAGTGTTGGCAAGCACTTTTGGGGTGCAACTGAGCTTCAACAAATCCTTTATGTACGGCAACAAATTGACTCATCAAGTACCCAAAGCAAGCATATGTGGATTATTCTCAATTTCTGAAGGTCCATTTGCTCGTTTGTGGTGCTTGAAATCCGACTTGAAACTTATAGCCCTGTGTAGTCCTTACCTCCATCATGTTTAAATCCCTTTAAATCCCCATACTTCCTGGCCGATATCACCTCATTTTTGTTGGTAAAATCACCATTCTATTAATTTGCAGCTTGGAAACCACCATCATGGTAGAACGCGTTTTGGAGGAGGTGAACTCTCAAATTTCAGCGGCCTAAAAATAGGTTGATAATGGTTAATAACCGAACCCTACTACAAACCATCATTCAGGATTTTGCTGGTGATAATTATCAACTGCGAGGGGTCAAATGTCGAAAATGGGTATGATTCACCTCAGTAGACATTCCCATGTTTGAAAGCTCCCTTTTTGGTCTTCTCAGAGTCTTTTCACCAGATTGCAACCAAATATGTAAGTCAATGTAAGCTCGTTCACTGCATACAGCCAGTTTTATGGGACTTGCAATCTTCTCAAATGGTATGTCTATGTACGGTTTATCATTATTAGGTTTACATCATTGCCAACGCAGGTTTTGGTACTCGCCGAAAAAAGTGAATCCTCTTGCTAAAATATGCCACTACAAACTATCAACCAACAACAATTTCGGGGCGATACCCGATCATATATTCTTGTTTCGACCATACTTGATGATGTTACTAGGTTGACATCTATCTCATGATTTTTCCCATTTGTATGATGTTTGCAATATTAAACATATCCAAACTATTCCGAACTGTGTTATTCCTCTCTTTGATTCATTGAAATCCTGATAATTGAGGATCACAATCCAAGTCCTAATCATGTCTTTTTCGGTTCATTTCCCTTAATGTTGCAACAAACATGATCTCTTCAGGCACTTTCTGTGCTGATAACGCTCAATCACCAGGGATTTATATCATTTGTTTCGAGTGTTGGATGACACGATTGTGTTTGATCATGTTGTTGGTTTTAATCCTGGTAAAACACCATCAATCAACCATCAGTGTAGGGCTTAATTGGAGGTTGAACCCCAATGTTTGGGCAATTATCAGCCAATCTAGTGGTGAACATGTTCGCTGCAGACCAAACGCTTGCCCGTGACGGATCCCGCATATCCTGAGACATGCTCAAATCCCTTCGTATGGTCGATGTTTTCATACCTAAAACGAAAAACAAACTCCAAACCCTACAACACCTAAACCTTGGAACCCTGAAAGCCTATAATTATATATATATATTGTATATATAAATCCTTGAAGACTAAAGTAAAAGTCAAGCGTACAGCCAGTGTGTTTATTCATCCTTGGCTGTAAGGGTTTGTCTCAAAAAGAGGGGACTCAAATGGGATTAGCCTCCAGTAAATTAACAGTTTGCTATGGAAAAACACCATGTTTCATAGGTATATTACTTGTCAATTGCCAGTTTCAATAGCCATGTTAAATTACCAGAGGATAGGGTCTACGGTCTACGTATATACATCTTTGGCTTTCATGTCTTTCCATATTCACTAAAGGTCTCTGAGATATGAAATTAACATGCTATCCCAGCATATATTCCCTACGTATTACATACGTGAGCCATTAAAAATACCCCTATCCCATCTCATTACTCTAGTTGGTTGATAGGTTTCCCTACCTATGGGCCTATGGGTTATCATAATCCCAGTAAACTAGGTAGTATAATCCCCTGTAGCAATCAATTAATCAGGGTATTTTTAACGGCTCACGTGGCGACTCCACAAAAATGGAAGCCATACATTGGCCATTTTTGGCAATCATAAAAGACGATCATCCACTCAAAAACGCACTTTTTGGTTGGCCATCCAGTTATCAGATAGTTATCCTGAACTACTTTGTGTTGGTGAAAACTCAACATATCTTCTCTGTTAAACCACCAATTTAAGTTGGTGAAATCCAAGTTTTTCATGGTGAAATCCCTATCAATCCCTATCACAAAACAGCATAAAAATTCAAAATCATTTCATATCATGTTCTATTTGTAATAAGGATTTCTACATTCTCAGATTGGTAGTGATTTATAAGATTTTATAATTTGTAATAAACTTACTGGTGCTAAACGTAGGGAATTTTCCGGAATGATCCACTGGCTAACTATCAAGAATAATCTGGTTGGTGGTTTCAACCCCTCTGAACAATAGTCAGTTGGGCTTATTATTCCCAATATATGGAAAAATAAAACATATGTTCCAAACCACCAACCAGATGGAAAGCCCCATATGATTTCCACACAAGTCAAGTGTGTGGACATCCCATTTTCGGGAATCATCCACTGGCTAACTATCAATAATAATCTGCTTGGTGGTTTCAGCCCCTCTGAAAAATAATAACATCTATACACTAATAATATCTAATATAACCACTATCAATAATAATCCCATTCCCATCCAAGAAATCCCTGGGCCTCCAGTTGCTGCGGTGCCTCCATAACCGCCTCCTCTGGCGTTTGCTCCGCATGCGGAGCTGCATGCGCTGGCACCTCGCCTGATGAGCCCCACTGCATTGTTAAAACCAAGAGTTCATGGGGTTCTTTGAATGGTTTTATGCTGGGAAAAAGGGAATTTTATGGTGATTTAATTGGGTATCACGGAATTTAGTGGGAGTTCAAAATTATTTAATGTGATATTAATAATGGAATACTACGAGTAATGGGATAAACGGAGGTTTCATGGGATATCCATGGTTAATTGGGACCATAGTCGTTTCGTGGAAATAATGGAAATAACATTGATATATCATTGTGAATAAATGGATATATATATATATATACTAAAAGAGTTGGGAAAATAACATGGGAATACAATGGGAATAATATGTTGGACTTTTTTTATTGGGTATAACACTATTTGGGAGGATTTAAAATGACCCCACATGGTTGGTTACAGGGATATTGGTGTGCATATATACATATATATATATGCATAACTGACAATAAAATAGGCATATATTATAGTGGATTACTCTAAATCCCCATAATCAACAAAAATACCATTATATATTCTTGGGTTTACCACATTAGAGTGGATGTATAATGGAGATAGTTTGTGGTTTTTTAGGAAAAATGAGAATATCATGGATTTCGAATGGGTTCTACAACCAATGGTATGTTCTACCCTCTATGACTATGGCCACCGGAGAAATCACCAAAAAACATGGAGGTTTCAATGGGAATGTATGGGAATATCATCGAACTTTTGCTGGCGGTGGATTTTCCAGCAAGCCATGGAGCTGATTACGATGAACTTGACACGGAGATTTTGTTATGATTGGATTTACCGCACCATAAAATACATTAAAATACGTATCATAGAGCCAGATTCATCAGTTTCCCAATCATTGGGTATTCCCCACTTTATGGTTATCTTCATGTGGATAATGATAATCATCCCCAAAAAAACATAGGGTGTGCGCCATTTTCAGACAAACCCAAATGGGGGTATATCCTGTACGCATGCTTGGGGACGGTTCTTGGGTTTATCATACCATTTTAACCTTCGAAAGTATAGAACCAAGAATGGGAAGCTGACACATAAATAAATATTATGTATACAAGGTTAGGCTCCCTAGACAGCTAAGTTGGTTTGTAACTCCACTAGGTTTTATGGCAGTTGTAACTATAGTTGGATCATAAACATATCTGGATGGGTTATAAACACTAGGTTTATGGTTTATATCCACTAGGTTTTATGGCAGTTGTAACCCCACTACAGTTGTAACAGTTGGATGGGTTTATAAACTTCACCAACAAACATATCTGGGGCCATTTTATCAACTCTCGAGACTGACCAGTCGGGCTTTCGCCGAAGAATCTCTCTGGATATTCTCTGGTAAAAAAACGCTTTGCAAAGGAAAATCACCATTTTTTATGGGTAAATCCACTATTTCAATGGCCATTTTCAAGAGCTTTATGTATGTTTACCAGGGGGTATTGATTCAAATACAAGCCAATATTTACTTGGCAATTCCAGTGTTACCGGAATAGATTTTCTTCCCCAAATGCGCTTCGTGCTCAGTTGTCGATGCATAAATCCCAAATCTGCCTGAATCAGATTTCGGATGAACTACCATCTGGTTATGACTAACATAGCCATGGAAATCACTATTTTTAATAGGGAAAAAAACACCATCTTATAAATGGGCCATCAATACCATGGCTATGTAACAAATACCCAGAGGGTAAATCCATACTTTTTTGATAAATGCGTATAAATCCAACATTCTCATACAATGTGGGGCCCCCCAGTTATAAGTTGGTTTATAAACCCCCATAACTATAGTTATAAGTACCATAAACCATAGTGAGATTGGAGTTATAATCCAACATTTTCATAGGTTAAATCCACATTTTCGTCTCAACTGCCGCTCCCCTTCACTCACGTCACTCGCCTTGGATCGGTGGAGGGCCGTGGCCGCCATGACCTCAGGGGAGATATCCCCAGTTACAAAAAGAATAGCCATATACAACATATGGAGGTTTCCTAAGTCATGGGGGTAGCCCTAGTTATCATCCATTGAAATAGATGGATTTTCCATGAAATAAACCATACGTTTTGGAATATCCCCATGTATGGAAACCCCCATATGTATAGTATGTATGATGGATCTGATATAAATTGATTACGCTGATATAATCCCACAGTATAATGATGATGGATCATCATACATACCCTCCAGTAAGTAACCTAACATAGCTATGGTATAGATGGTCCATTTATGGGTGACATATAAAGCATTCATCGATAATTAACCGTTTGAACATTGTAATAAGTCGCTAATCTGAAAAGTTCGTTATCTTGGGATAATTTCCCGAATCCTAACCATCATTCCAGTGAGAGAGAACACCGAGGTCGATATAATTTACCCAGATATATAAGATCCATCATACATATAATAAAACACAACTTGGGAATAGTGGATAACTTGGGAATCATGAATATATATATATATGAATATATATATATACCAAAACATGCCAATGGGTGCCAAAACGGCGCCCCTTAGGCAGGGGCTTCGCTACGGCACCCGTTTGATTTCATGGTTGTTATCATCCCATTTTTGGCTATTTCATCTTCATACCTCATGTTTCCCATCTGGGGCCATCAAAGCTGTCATAGTATGTCGCTCACTTCCATCCGCAGCCTGGCAACGGCTCATGTTGATGATGACAAGTGGTATGATGGCATCTAATACAGATCCACTAGAATGAGCTGTGCAGCTATTGGTATGCCGTTTGAAGAATAAACATTACCAAAGCCATAGATGCCATAGGATAATTTCCAATCTGGATCTTTGCTACCCCCTTGGTGTGCTAGCAATGCCGAAGCGCAAGCGTCGGACTAGCAATGGGGAGACTGTGAAGCTTGTCACCGCTTTGAACCACTATATTTTATGGGGTTGGGAGTTAGGGTTGGGTCCTTCCCTGAAACATATGGGATGAATATTACTGAAACTGTATTTTACCAATCAACCAATCAGGTATTTCACAAAAGCCTTGATGGATCGGATGGATGACAATTGTGTACAATGGATCCGCAAGACTGGAGAATTCTGGCCAGGTGGCGATATCAGAATATCTGGAAATTTATGGCTGCGTGCTGCATTCACCAAGTCTTCCCTGTCCAAAGTACCCCGGGAAAATTCGATTCGACAAAGCCTGTACGAGATCATCCGCAAAAAGAAGTTACGTCTTCAACTTAGTTTTGTTTGGTGCCATGTTGTGCTGTGTGGGATTTCCAACATATAATTTATCATATTCTTTCATAACACAGTACAGGCTTTGGTCGAAGCGATGACGACTTGGATACCTGGGTCATGCAGCAAGTTACTTGGGACCAGTGTCTTTATTAATGTTGTTTTCCCTAATGAGTTTATAGTTCAACTTGGTTGCTAACTCCCATCAATTGTTTTTTTTCCAGGTTGGATCGTTGTGATTCTGAGGCACATCGAGGACACCAGGTGCTGTTAAACCATGCGAAGAACAAACGCAAGGGTGTCACCTTCCTATCTCCAGCTACGAAAGAAAAACAAAAGGTTGCCAGAGAGAAGCTTGCCTAATTTTTGGAGAATGAACTCAATTTTAGTTTATATATAGTACCACTATTGATAAAATTCACCTTAAAGCCAGCCCTGAGGAAAAGTGTTTCCAGTGTTTCCACGTTCTTGATTTCTGGGCCTGGCCACGATTTTGATCTGACACGCGTTTTTGGTGCGTGTCATTCGCGTGTCATTGCGTGTCGGGGGGTATGGTCATGGGTGTCACTACGGCACCCCTTAGCCTAAGGGGTGTCACTACGGCACCCCTTAATGTGTGTCGGGGGGTGCCCCCACCCCGGGTCTGCGTGTCATTCGCGTGTCGGAAAGTGCACTTCCCGAGGATTTTTTTTTAGTTTTCCCATTTCATAGAAAATGCAACTTTTGGATCCAGTGGGGTCGACTCAATGCAGCAGATTCTAGACTAACAAACTGAGGTGTGTTTGCCTTCGTTGAAATCACTGAAACAAAGATTTGTCTCCTCATCATGTTGTTGACTCTGAGGAAGCTGTTGTTATGGCACAGTGGCTGGAGATGATCACACTGAAAGTGGCTTCAGAAAATCCTGCCAATACCCATGCACAGCTACTTGGCTCAACGCCATGTTTGTTTCGATAATACCAGTTGGTCGGCTATCTCTCTCTCTCTCTCTATCGGTCAGTCGGATAATCCTCCCCATTTGTTTTTGAGCTGCTTAGGATGCGGGCTGCTGTTTTTGTCAACCTTGTGACCATGCGCAAAGTGATGGACCATGGTGGCAATGGCCATGTGCAACTGGCCCCATGCAATTTGGAGATTTTACAGAAGTCAAATTATTTGTTCCACTCAGCCCACAACTGTCCCTTGACACTCACTGGCCGTGTGTGTGTGTGCTTTACATGTGTTACTGATGTGTGCATTCGCAGTGTTTGTTCAAATATTCTATGTTACAGCCAAGGGCTTGCGATGGAATCTTTGGAAGCAAACAAACTACTTTGGAAATCCCGTCCAAAACACCACAAGTTACTTGGCTCCAAAGTAGCCATGATGATTCACAACACTTCACCTGTTAAATATGATTTGTCCAGATTTCTTTTGTTGTATGATCATTTTCTATCTAAGGCTAGACCATCTGGTCTACGATGTTGCTCCCCAGACCAATCCCATCAAACTCAGCTGCTACATGGACGAAGACGCGGTTGGAAAATTGAAAAAATTAGCGATGGCCAGCAGCCCCCAAAACATGGGCGAATATGTTCTTAGTAGATACGCATCTTACATATGCGTCCGTTGGTTGAGGAGAATGGAATGATAGTTGAACATTTACCTCCAAAAATGGGAACACCAATGAAACAGCTGAACATGGTGACCCTCAACCAACTACCTTTCCCAGCCAACCACTTGGCACCTGGTGAGCTCCGATGTGAAAACGCCAGTCACGTCGACGTGGCCACGGTGGAGAGAGCGGCTGGGTTTGGGTTGATGGGGAATCTATGGGAACCACCAAAATCTATGGGAACCACCAAATTTGTGATATGTTACCTTTGTTATACTTATAACGTAGTGTTTTGTTTTGAGTGAGTTAAGGGGTGTCGTGGTGACATACCCTTAGAGAACTTAGATTTTGGCATCATAGCGCCACCCGTTGGAACCCATTGGTATATATATATATGTATTTGTATATATATATATATTCAAATGTATTATAAATATATCATATACATTATATGATATAGATGATAACTTGGGTATGTTAATCCAGATAAAAACAGGGGCATTGGATAACTCGAAAAGCCAACACGACCCGCATCGACCATGGCTTGGAGCGCCGGACCATAGATCTGGCCCATGGCTTGGGCCAACTGTTCTACCCCCTGAGCCTGGCAAAATCGTGGGAGAGTCATGGGGTCAAGGAGGGGGGTCTGACCATCTTGATTAACAATGGTTAATGATGGTTAATGATTGTTAATAGTGGGTTATCTGGTGGATTATATGTTTATATATGGGGGTTGTCCTAAATTACTGTTCCCACAAAGGCCTCTTGGGCCGAGCTTGCGCCAACCTTGCGCGTTTCTTGCGCGACCACACTCCCGGATCACTTTCATCATTTCAGTTGTTTTTCATCATTATTCTCGTACTTGTTTTCGCATGTTAAATATTTAGTATTCACTTAGTATTTCGTACTGGGAAGTAGTTTGTGCAAGCTTTGTAGTACACAGTAGTACTGGGAAGTAGTTTGTGCAAGCTTTGTAGTACAAAGTATTGGGAAGTAGTTTGTGCAAGCTTTGTAGTGCAAAGTAGTACTGGGAAGTAGTTTGTGCAAGCTTTGTAGTACACAGTAGTACTGGGAAGTAGTTTGTGCAAGCCATGTAGTACAAAGTAGTACTGGGAAGTAGTTTGTGCAAGCTTTGTAGTGCAAAGTAGTACTGGGAAGTAGTTTGTGCAAGCCATGTAGTACAAAGTAGTACTGGGAAGTAGTTTGTGCAAGCTTTGTAGTACACAGTAGTACTGGGAAGTGCTTTGTGCAAGCTGTGTAGTACAAAGTAGTACTGGGAAGTAGTTGTTGCAAGTTTTGTAGTACACAGTAGTACTGGGAAGTGCTTTGTGCAAGCTTTGTGGTACACAGTAGTACTGGGAAGTGCTTTGTGCAAGCTTTGTAGTACACAGTAGTACTGGGAAGTGGTTTGTGCAAGCTTTGTAGTACACAGTAGTACTGGGAAGTAGTTTGTGCAAGCTTTGTAGTACAAAGTAGTACTGGGAAGTAGTTTGTGCAAGCTTTGTAGTGCAAAGTAGTACTGGGAAGTAGTTTGTGCAAGCTTTGTAGTACACAGTAGTACTGGGAAGTAGTTTGTGCAAGCCATGTAGTACACAGTAGTACTGGGAAGTAGTTTGTGCAAGCTTTGTAGTACAAAGTAGTACTGGGAAGTGCTTTGTGCGAGCTTTGTAGTACACAGTAGTACTGGGAACGTGTTTGTGCGAGCTTTGTAGTACACAGTAGTACTGGAACGTGTTTGTGCAAGTTTTGTAGTACACAGTAGTACTGGGAAGTAGTTTGTGCGAGCTTTGTAGTACACAGTAGTACTGGGAAGTGCTTTGTGCGAGCTTTGTAGTACACAGTAGTACTGGGAAGTAGTTTGTGCAAGCTTTGTAGTACACAGTAGTACTGGGAAGTGGTTTGTGCAAGCTTTGTAGTACAAAGTAGTACTGGGAAGTGCTTTGTGCAAGCTTTGTAGTACACAGGAGTACTGGGAAGTGCTTTGTGCAAGCTTTGTAGTACACAGTAGTACTGGGAAGTGCTTTGTGCAAGCTTTGTAGTACACAGTAGTACTGGGAAGTGGTTTGTGCAAGCTTTGTAGTACACAGTAATACTGGGAAGTAGTACTGGGAAGTAGCTCTGCACGTGTTGAACTTCTGTGGTTTCAGAGCGGTTTCAGAGTGGTTTCAGACCCCTTCGGGGGGTCTAGCTGACCTTGATGAAAAGAACAATTTACAGACAGAAAAGACTTGAACACAACATACAAGGAAATACATTTAAAGAGCAGATAGATAGATAAATAGATAGATAGATAGATAGATAGAGATAAAGCAGCCAACACGGTCCGGAAGACATGCAGCAGCAGTCCGGAGATGGTGAGCAGGAAGGTGTTTCAGAGTGGTTTCAGACCTCTTTTGGGCTTGTTTTTTGGGTACCCCCAGCTTTGGGAGATGAAAAAAGAAAGAGAAAAGGTAGAGAAAGAGAGAGAGAGACAGAGAGAGGAAGAGGGAAAGAGATAGAGAGAGAGAGAGGGAGAGAGAGGAAGATGGAAGATGGAGACAAACAGAAGGCGAGAGAGAGAGAGAGAGGAAGAGGGAGAGGAAAGAGAGAGAGCGTTGTAAATGGTGAGCAGCGGGGTGTTTCAGAGTGGTTTCAGACCTCTTTTTGTCCGTAGGCTACCTCAGCTTTGGAGAAAAAACAGGAAAGAACGGGAAAAGAAAGAAGAGAAGGGAGAAAGAGACAGAGAGAAAGAAGAAGTCTTGAGACGGTGAGCAGGAAGATGTGTCGAACTGGTTTCAGACCTCTTTTGGGGCCGGTTATGGGGCTATAGTTCTTAAGACATCCAAAAGAAGGGGCTCAAAACAGATTGTACTTGAAACACATGCGGTCCGGAAAGACGTGCAACGGTCCGGAAAAGCAAGCACCCAAAACGTACTCTAATCGTAAAGGCATGCAGCGGTCCGGAAAAGCGAGCACCCAAAACGCACGCTAATTGTAGACATTGCGGTCCGGAAAGATGAGCAGCGGTCCGGAAAAGCAAGCACCCAAAACGTACTCTAATTGTAGCCATTACGGTCCGGAAAGACCTGCAGCGGTCCGGAAAAGCAAGCACCCAAAAAGTACTCTAATTGTAGATATTGTGGTCCGGAAAGACGTGCAGCGGTCCGGAAAAGGAAGCACCCAAAACGTACTCTAATTGTAGACATTACGGTCCGGAAAGACATGCAGCGGTCCGGAAAAGCAAGCACCCAAAAAGTACTCTAATTGTAGATATTGTGGTCCGGAAAGACGTGCAGCGGTCCGGAAAAGGAAGCACCCAAAACGTACTCTAATTGTAGACATTACGGTCCGGAAAGACATGCAGCGGTCCGGAAAAGCAAGCACCCAAAACGTAGTCTAATTGTAGCCATTGTGGTCCGGAAAGACCTGTAGCGGTCCGGAAAAGCAAGCACCCAAAAAGTACTCTAATTGTAGATATCGCGGTCCGGA